AACAATATTTTAAAGAAAAAATTTTGGCATCTTTAATAAATTTTAAAAAAGTTGTACCAACTTAAGAAGGGATACAATTTTGATTTATAATTGTTAGTTGATTATCATATACATTTAAAAAAAAAAATTAAATTTGAAAAAATTATATATTTCATCTAAATATATATAAGGGTATAAAGGTAATTTGTTCTCATGCAGCTGCAGCACAACAGCTCTACAGTTATACTTTCCAAACAAAATATAATGATTTTTATAAAGCAACTTTAGAAAGCAACTTTATGTACAGCAATTTCACAACCTACTTTACCGACAGCTGCAGCCGTCACAAACGCATCCTTAGAGCAACACATGGAAGATTTGATGGCAATTCTCATTCCCCTTGGGGAGGATGATGTCAGATGCAAATGAGATGTTAAGATAGAATTTATAAGAATTGGTCTTTTTTTTAATAAACTTTCTTTCTTTTTTTTAATATAAGGAAGTTTTGTAAGTGGAGAAGGGGTATTTGTTTTTATTTCTATTCAATAAAAATAAAAAAGAGGAATAAAAACAAAGCTGTGCATTCATATTTCTTTTGGGCGAATATGAGTTTTTGATAAATCTTGTATATATTCTATGGGACTCGGTTGAATATAACTATGAGTGTTTTTATCTTTATTGATGTTTACTATATCGCCAGCCTACATCCAAATTTGGATCAATACTGGTAAAAAAATCTCTGAATAAGGTTCTGACATCATACCAAATGTGTTCGAAAATGAATAGCAAAACTAACATATATAGCATGTCCAAATGTGAACCAACCCCTTGAATTGCTATGAAAAACAAAACATTTTAAGCACTTCAATCTGAAATTTTTCTTCCGCCACTCTAACCACAACTCTCCTTGAGCTCTAAAAAATCATGGCTTCTTGCTATGATATGCTAATAATTGTCGTTTCTTGGTCCGGTTATCTAAGAGGAATAATGTGGTCACCTTAGGGTTATTTGGATTTTTTTTTTTTGTAATATAAAAAATTCTCTATATCATATTCCTCATCTTGCCATGATAAGTGGTCTTCAAAAAACATGTCATGTAATAGGTACAAGTTTAATTTACCCAAATTCCTAAAAATTGGCTAAGGGTGCGATGTAGCATTGAGTTTACTAGGCGATGTGACACCAAGTTCTCTAGTTTTCTAGAATTTAAGTAAGCACAACGGCGCTGGGTCTTGAGTGTCATGCTACTGGGTTAGAAAAATGTTTTTTTAAAAATAAAAATATCAAAGAGTATTTTCTAAAATCCCTCACCCTAAGCCTTCCCCTCCCATTTCATATGCACGTTTGGTGAGCGGAGAGGAGAGGAGAGGGGAGAGAAAGGAGAGAGAAAGCTTGCTCTAGGGCATCTTCGTTCGTCCTCCTAATTTCAAAATACATTCTAATCATGGTAGCTAATCTTAGCCCTACCTATATTCTTTATGCTTTTTTATTTTGTCTATTTTCTTCCTCTTGAAATTGATAAAAATATAATACTTCTCATTTTAGAAAACTTTCACTGTATACTTTTTGATGGGTGATAGATATTATCATTATGAGCATTTTTGCTAGTTTATATTGAGCTTTCACCGATTAATTTTGTAGATATGTCATTTTAATTAAAATATAGAATATTATTTGAGTGTAAGATGATCTAAAGTTAATATACTATATTTGGATATGAGATAATTGATATGCATAAATTTATTATTCATTTAGAGTTCGTTTGGGACGGCTGCAGCTGTCGGTAAAGCAGGTCGTAAAATTGGTGTACAGAAAGTTGCTTTTTGAAATTGTTGTGCATAAAGCAATACATTTTGTTTGGAAAGTATAATTGTCAAGTTGCTGTGCTGCAGCTGTATAAGAATAAATTACCTTTATACCCTTATATGTATGAAGATGAATAAATTTTATTCAAATTTAATTTCTTTTCAATATTATCCTGTAGATGAGGGTGAGCCGATGAGCTTTTTTAAAAAAAAAAATATTTATAGTGCGATCCTTAAAATATATATATAAAATAGAGGTATAATGAGATTGATTGATATAATATGATATACCGACGGACATAAAGTGAAAATTTTTTACATGAGTCGTCTAACTTTTGATAAGTGATGCGAGACTTATTCTTAGTAATATGACTGATATAATTAAGATTGATTCATATAGTGTTAGCCTACATGACTTCATATAAAAAATAGCACAGATAGCCAGATGTCATGTCTTGCTTACATATGTATATGATATGATTATAGATGATAAATTACATAATCAATATAATATAATAAGGAGATAATTATGATATATGACATGACTAATATATGTATATCGCAAGACTAAGATTGATATAAGTGATAAGATTGATACATAATGTGTTGTATTTAATAGAAACATAGTATACATTTGGATAGCGAAACCAAGCAAGAGAATACATTTGGATATGAAAAGTAATGACTATTTGTGGAGAATAATTGTGTTTTTCTCACTCCTGTGGAATCAAACGAACGAAAGGGACTAAAAGGCAGCTGAGAGGAAGAAAAAGGAAGTTTTCTTATTCGTGGGTGGCTTCGTTGTTTGAAGACGACGGAGAGGGAGACAGGTGAGATCGAGAGAGAGAGAGAGAGAGAATATGAGAAGGGAGTTGGCACCTACGAGCAAGCTGCTGAACGAAGAAGTTACTTACGTGCGAGCTAGGACATGAACACATTTTTATATGAGAAGTTCAAGGTACGTTTTGTGAAATTTTATATTTGAAAATAATGAAAATTTATAACTGAGAATTATTGGATTAAAATGATTAATGTTAATAAATTTTATTTCTAAAATTTATGAACATCTTTGAGAATAATAAATGAGATTATGGAAAATTTAATTGAATATAATATATTAAATACAAGAACAATTAGGTGCTTTAACTAGCAAAATTGGAGAGAAAGAGTAAGAGTGCATATATTTTAAATTTAATAATAATGACATCTTAATTAATAAAATATTATATTATTATGTTAAGAAATAAAATATAATTAAAAGGAAGAAAATTTAAACGCGAGAAATCAATAATTCAAAACTTTGACATTTAATAATGTCTTTTGTGTAGGTGTTGAATAACAATTTTTGTAATGAGTAAAAGCGGAATTTTAAAACATCCGAATCAATGTGAGTATTTATATTTTTATTTTATGGTAATTATATTACTTCTAATTGCATTACAAATGATTGCATGTACATGTTGACTGATGGAGCACACGTCTTTATAGCATTGGCTGGGGACGCAATGTAATCATGCACGTAAATATAAAATGTTATAGAAAAGGAAAAGGAATTGAAAAAGTAGTACCTTCATTAATATTAAATTGGATTGTGACTATTATGACGATTGCATTATTTATGAGAAAGAAAAAAGATATAAATAAATATATAGTACATGAATAATATTGAAAGTCTTAAAATGAAATGAATCTAAATGGAATTAGTTTAATATATGAATTGAATGATAATGCATATTGTTCAAATTGTCTTGAGTTACAGTAATTTAGAAGCACGTTTCACTCACCGAGCTTTGACTTACTTTTAGTTGTTATAACATTTTCATGTTTAATCTAATATAATCAAAATGAGTAGAATATGTGAAAATGTGTACCGTAGATGTGACACGCCGAATGAAAGATATCTAATTCATTTTATATTAATTTATTATTTTTAAAGTTGTAATGACTATTTAAGTGTATTTGAGATAGATTTAGTAAATGAAAATTTAATCTACCATTTGACTATATGTTCTCACCTCATTAATTGGAACCTTCGGGCCAAGTCTTGTCATTCACACACATTATCTTTTTTTGACTACATTTGATTTGGTGGAATTTGAAAGGATAAAATGAAAATGAAATGGAAATTCTTCAAAAAATGAATAAAATTAATATTCACTCACTTATTTGGTTCAAGAAAAATAGAGTGATTTTTTGTTTCTTATATATGGTTGATTAGAGAATTTAAATTTTTGTTTCTGCTGATGATGAGATAGTTGTTTCCCCCGTTTCATTAGGGTTAGATAGAGAATTATCAAAATATAGATGAATTTGTTCACATTTGTTAAATAATTTAAATTACAAATCAAATATAAAATAATGAAATAAAATACAGCTTCATTCACTCCAATTCCTTAAAATCAGACAAATCCTGTGCATTTTACATTCTCCACCTGCTACAGCATATAGAATGCAAAAATATCCTTTGGAACACTTGAAACAAGTTTCTAAAAGCCCTCAAGCATCATTCTCTTACAAAATTAGCAACTTAGGCTTCATTTGGGACGACTTAAAATGACAAATTTTTTTTACTTTCAAGAAATTTTTGTACTAAAAAGTAGCTTTACAAAACAATACGAAAGTCATCCCAAACGAAATTTTAATATACAGTACTGAGTGTACAGTATAGAGATATACCTAACCAACATCAATCAGGCAATAATCCTTCAGTATTTGCATCATTGCTGCAAAAGCTATTGATTTAAGTTTTGTTTGGTACAGCTTATGTTCATTTTACTTTTTGCAATCACAGCTTTTCAAAAACTGTTTTCTCAGCCATAATTTTCATAAAAAAAAATAACATCCTTATTAAAATTTCAATCAATATAAACTTAAAATTATTGGATATACTATGAGATGCTTGTAAAAAATAACATCCTAAATTTGGGACGACTTAAGATGCTTGTAAATAACATCCTTACCACAAAAATCAGCAAAAAGCATAAATGAATCAAGGGCCTTTGTTTACATACTAAACTGGCTAAGTTGACATTTTGGCAAATAGTTGGTGCTAAGTGTCTATATGCCACCTTTTGGACATTTCATGCTCAAGGCTCATTGCTGTAAATAGAAAATGCATCATCAAAAATGATGAAACTTGAATGATTATATATCAATATGAGTTTCAAACCATTTAAACCCCTTAAACAGAAATGATTTGTTAAAGAAGAAGAAGAAGAATTAAGCCAATTTCATGGCAACTAATGTAACTTGTGATTGCATATTATTTTACTAAAAGAATGAGTATGATTTACATTCAGAACATTTACATTACTGTACATACAATATATGTAAAGAATATAGCCCAAAACTCATATGCAAATCATGGATTCATGAATATTTGGGTAAAAAGGGAAGCCTAGAGAAACTTGTACCTGAATTCCCACTGGTTAAGGAGTCAATTTTTGCTTGCTTTCTCAGATGGGATTCAGAACATCTTCTTGTAGAGGAACCCTTCTTGCTTATTTTCATTGGAAGAATCTGCAACCTTGAATTTAACTCTGTGCCCGACTTCTCAGCTGCGAGTTGGTAGCTCTCCACGAGCTTTAATTGCCGAGCTATTATTTCTGAGCATCTAGGAAGGAGTTCCACAGGCTCTCCCCCTGGTATTACGATGTATTCGATAGCCATTCGAACTTCCTACGAAAAGCACAAGGAACCAGTAGAGATGATAACGATGTAGAGAAAAACTCTCTGGTTAGGTAAAAAACTATGTCTGGATTTTTGTACCAAACAAACAAGATTCCAACGTGTGAAGAAGCCTATCATCCTTATTAGCTGGGAAAATTATTAGGTGCGGACACCGGACAGAGAGAATCATCTGGATTTCTTTCTGTCTACAATTAAAGCGTAGTCAAAGGGCAGTCAAAGCGTAGTTACTACAGTACTACGCTTTGACTGCGCTTGTACTGTAGACAGAGAAATCCAGATGATTCTCTCTGTTAGGTGTCCGAACCTAATAATTTTCTTATTAGCTGACATATATATCTTACCAGTTTGATATAAATGGTATAGTTGTCATCTGGTGGAAAGACACTCAAATATGTAATATTAGACTATAAGGTTTGATTGCCTAGCAGCAATTCACAACAACTGGAATTCTTACTAACAAGCAAGATTGCCTCAACAGATCCGAGATCAATAGTTAGTGATGATTTACTTTGCATTACTTACCTTGGGCATGTTGTGTAGGGAATCTCTTCTGCCTGCACTGAAGATATAAATAACTGATGATGCCAATGTGATGGCCATCCGTTTCCACGTTAACTAATAGTTTTGGATTGGGTGGGCGGCGGACTAAACAATTTTCCTATTTCAATTTCAAGCTTTACCAATAAGGATGACACAAAAGTAGTCTACAATGTTAGAAGGAAATATTATTCACAGCAGACTAACTCTATTTTAGAGGTGTCAAAAGTTGACACGATTTGAAATCCGACCCGGAAAAATCCAGGTTCGGGTTGACCCGTATGAAAAATGGGTTAGATTCAGGTTGACTCGAAAACACGTGGGTCGACCCGGCTAACCCAGCTAACTCATGAGTCGCGACCTTGACCTAGCGTTGTGACCCAGGCTCATCTCCACCTAGCCCAGTTGACACGGACCGCATGTCCGCAAGGTCGACTACTCGACTGCCAACCGTCGACCCCACCCCGGCGCATCCTCCGGCCAATCTGCACAACCCCGCCCTGGCAACTCCTCCACCCCCGACTTCACCTGCGGCCTCACTAGTTCACGCATCATGGCTCCCGCTTCCTCCGGCCTACGACAATCTACCTCATATGCGGATGCGGCCTCACCAGTACCACCTGCGTTCGCCCAGGCCTAGGCCCTACACAGCGCGACTCAACCACTACGCCGACGGAAGGAAATCCAGATCAGTTCGGGTTCGTGGGTCGGGTTGGGGCAACCCGGTAACCCGTGCGGGTCAGGTCCAGGTTATATATCCTGTCTGGTCTAGTTAAACGGGTTGGGTTCGGGTCAATCCGTTTACGTCCTGGTCAACTTGGGTTGGATCCGAACCAGACCCGCTGACCCGAATTGACACCCCTACTCAATTTCAACTATGTTAGTTAGGGCCAATAAATTTATCTAGTGTTTTTTTTGCAGCAAATGCATTCGAAGACATATTTTTCCAGTTCTTTTATATCCTTCAAAAAGGGCTCGATTAATAAATATAAAGCATGCGAAACAATGGAAAATGCTCTAAGTTTAGAACAACTAATAGGTGAGAAAATGAACATATGAAGAAAGGAAAAAACCACAATACCTCCAAGGCATCAATCTCCTCTAACGTAGGTTTTCTCTTCGGTGCGTCATCTTCAATCTCAATGTTTTCTGCATGATCCAATGGTATTTTTGTAGTAGATCCAAATGAGTTCACCCCAAGAACCATTCTAACTGCTTTTACCATTTGGGCCATTGTATTTTCCTGTAATAAAGATCAAGATATGCAATATGAACTGGGCATTTGACAAGTGACATTATCGGTCACAATAAAATGAATTACCTTAATCACAAAAACTGGTAATTGATGGTATTTTGCCACACTACGTATCCAGGGATTCTCCTTCATTTCAGAACTTGATACAACAACCACATTGGCTGTTCCAATGTCATCAGTGACGTCTATCTTATCCTCAAGACCCATTACTTTTGCTACTTGTAATAGATCAGCTTCCAAAATCTAGCAAAAGATTGAGGAAAACAGAAGAAAAAGAATAATTCAAGTTATTTGTTCCATCGCAGATAATGACTAAGTCTTCCTTTGGAACGGCTTTTTTATTGCTTCTCAGAGCAGTTTTCTAATATATTTTTTTTTAATTAAAAAGTTGCTTTAAGAAGCAATAAAAAAATCATCCCAAACGAAGCCTAAATTAAAAAATTATTTGGACAGTTCAATGAAAAAAAGGCTAATTTCAACGTTAATTAGATAATTGCTTTTGACATTTTGCTGCAAAAACAGTTTACAAATAGCATAGGAAATTTCATCAGGAAGATAATCCATTTAAAGTGAATGGTACAAATTGATTTCATTGTGGCTTGGCAAGATATGCTCAGTTTTCTCTCTCTATTAGATATTTTATGTGTCCCATGATCTAGTATCAATCTACATCTATTCATTGTCTTATAGAGAATCATAAATATTTTGTAACTTTCTATCCCACACATTGAATCTTTCATATCTAAAACAGGAGGAATATGATTTGTGGAGTGGTTGAAGTTATAACATACAAAAATTGAGTTAGTCCACTCAAACTTCTGGGATGCTAGTCACGTTGTGAATCATTAAACTATGATAATCTATAGCATTCATTAACGACTTGCTCATAGTTACGTAGGCCCATCTACCCCAAATATTGGTAAAAAGCCCTTCAAGTTTTTCCAGAATTTTTTTAAGACATAAAAATTCACTTTTTCTGGTCATCAAAACTTTATACATCTATAATGCTTCAAGATTTATGCAATCTCAATTTTGCACTTTTATATACTAACAATAATACTATTATCAAACCTCTTGTTCTTAAGCATCTCAACAAAATGGTGTTATTTAATGCAAAAATTATCATTTGCTTAATGTTTCATACGAAAGTGCCCCGTTTGTTCTAAAGAGATGCAATTTTGATAGCTTGCCATGCAACTCAACCATATCTTCTCTCCTCTTTGAGATAGAAGGGAAACAATGAGAGAATGGTAGAGAGGAGAGATTTGTACTAATTCTCCCATATTTTCATAATGAATTTTTTTGGCATGGCGTGGCTCCGTGTTTTTTTTCCTGATTTCAGGTTTTTCCACATTAAATCATGGTGTTCTTTTATTTATGTTGTTTTTAACTTTCTTATTTATTTCGTTGCGGTATTTTACCACCCACCCCCGACATTTGCATATGCATGCAACAAGCTCCCATGATAGTACTTCAGATTTGGTGCTAATAATTGTGAGAATTATTACAAAAATCAAGTGTTGAATCTTGTCTTTTGAAATACAATTGAACTCATACGCAGCTTCAAATTAGCACAACCTTCCTCCCATTTGCTAAACATGACTAGTTAAAATTATCTAACTAGTGCACTTTCGCAGAAGGTGAACCTTTTAGCGGTTGAGCATAGGCATGTGTGGTAGGCCATGTTTCTTAGGCAATGCTAGGCAGGAAAGGTTTGCCTATTCTTACTAAGCCCAGAGCCAGCTTGACCCTCCTAGTGTCCTGATAGGAAATACTCGTTTGCACAAGTAAACCTAACCCAAATCAATTACCTAAGCCAAGTAAACTGCTGTCCGCAGCAAGAACACAGCTCAAACAGTGAAAAAACTGAGAGAAAACGTAGGGAGAAACGTAGAAAAACGATGCAAACGCTTTTATTTCAATAAAGGATGAAAAGCACTTGCAAGATACAACTTTCCTTCAATTCGAGAGGAAGGAAACACTCTCCAACGATCTCCGGCAACGCCAAGAGCCCAAGCAAGAAAACCTAGAAGACAAAACTCATTCCAAATCAAGATGAAAACCTAATCCCCCCATAACTCCCTACTAATACAATCTAATTCAAATTAAAAGCAAAAGGACTACTCTACCCTTCCTTCTCCCTCCAAAAACACTTAACCCATGTTTGAATTGCAAGTGGACCCACTCCCTGGCTCCCTCTCTCTTCCGCGCGGCTCCTCTGCGTCCGTCGCGAGTAGCACTGGACCGGCTGGGCCGGTCCAGGTAGAGCCGGTCCAAGCTGGACCGGCATAACATGTCCATGTTCAGAGAATGAGGAATGAGCCATTATTATTTGGTCTATACAGATTAACAAAGGATTTGCTATTTATTCTCAAGTGCAAACTATGACATTCAATTTTGTAAACCAAAAGGATGGAACAATATAGATTATGGAGATTTGAAAACTACAGTGCCCAGCATTTTCTTCCCTCTTGCAAGAAATGAAGAAACTAATAGACCAGTGTCAAATAAAGCTACCTGAAGAAATTTTTTTCAATGTTGCTAGTAACTACTAAAATTTCAGTATTTACCTTGTAAATATATACACGTATAGGATTACTCAAATCTGATTTAGTATTGCTTCCATGCTTATTACGTCTTGAAACAGCTGCGGATGCTTGCTCAGTAATTTTCTCTGAATCCTCATTCAGGGTACTGGTGACAGGTGCTCGATCTTCGAAGCTCTTATCAATAACTGGAGCCAGGCCCCTAGATTCATTAGGCTTAGGTTCCAGCTTTCGCACTTCAAACAGAGGAGATTTACCTGTTTCCACAAAAATATGAAGCCAAATAACTCTAAGGTATCATTTGGGACGACTTTCTTACTACTTCATTAAGTAACTTTTTAGTAAAAAATTAATATTTTTTATATTAGAAAGCTGCTCTAAGAAGCAGAAATAAAGTCGTCCCAAACGAAGCCTAAGACTCTATGCACTACCATCAATTTAACCAAGAATATTTACCGGCAAGAATAGCATCCACAGTGGCTTCCAATTTGTGATGAACTCTGCACTCATTCTTTGATACTATTTCCACTGCACAGGTAAAAGCAGGAGGGCCTTTCCTCTCAAGTATTGTTTTCTGCACTTTCCTTCTTTTCGCCTCATCATCACCAAGTGTAACACTCTGGATGAAGAGACACTTGAGAATTACCATCAGCCGTATGAAAATCTTACTTAACATGTTATTTACCTAGCCTTTCTCTAATAGTTAAATGATGGAACATTGTGAATACATTTTTATTTCAGCAGTCAAAATACTCCGCAAAAGGAATTTGTTGAAAAAAAAGGAGCTATGAAAAGAGTAAAAGACTGTTAATTCGCAAGGTGAAGTCAACATGCTACTCAATGGAAACCATGAGATGGGAGCGCTTTTCATGGGAATGGATAAAAGATGGTTAGCATATGGCTAAAATTAGGGGTGTCAATTTTGAGTCACGAGTCAGATTCGGGTCAAATCCGAAATTGGCACGGCACTATTCGTGTCAACCCGAACCTGACACACTTCAAGTCCGGGTCAACCCGACACAACCCAAATGACATGGGACCATGAAAAAATTGATAGTTTTTCGGTCGAAAAATGGGTCAAACTCTACTTTCGGGTCAAAATGGGTCGAAAACAGGTCAATCTTGATTTTTCGGGTCAAAACGGATCAATTTCATGTCACTTTCGGGTTAAAGGGTTAACCCGAACCCGACCCGATTTTTGAAACGGGTCGAATTGTTGAACCCGAATCGACCTGTTTTTTACCATAATCTGGAATTTTTGGGTCAGGTCCGAGTCGAGTTTTCGGGTCGTGTTAAATATTGACACCCCTAACTAAATTTTAGAAAAATTGTATTGATAGATAACCAAGAGTTCCAATGAGATGGAAAAACTGTAACTGGCGAGGTATATCTACCTCGATGCCTCCAACCAGCACCTGTAAACATGGATTCTTTATGATGCTCTCTATTGTAACACCATGGGCTGTGCCAACAAGCTGGACACCTCTCTGGGCAATGGTACTTGCAGCCATTGCTTCAAGTTCAGTTCCAATTTCATCAATTATAATAACTTGTGGCATATGGTTTTCAACTGCTTCAATCATAACCTGCATAGGCATCATTTAAATTTTACACAAAGATCAACACAAAGCTAATTGTTTCAATCTGACAGTGCTGAAGATCTTAAGGTGTAATAATGCTAATGAAACTTTTATGTAATGGAAATGACTTACGTTATGCTGCATATTAACATCAGGAACTTGCATTCTGCGAGCCCGTCCTATTCCGGAGTGAGGTACATCCCCATCACCTCCAATCTCATTGGATGTGTCCACTATGACAACACGTTTCAAGTGCTCATCAGCCAGCACTCTAGCTATTTCCCTGCAAAAATATAGTTCAGACCATTTCAGCTACAAACAAGGGGATTAATGAAACATATCAGAAGAAATTTATAAAAAGTCAATCTAGTTAATTTATAAGGTTTCATAGAATATTATTACTAACTCAACAAAAAAAAGAGTTACAAAAATAACATACAAAGATTAAGGGTTAGTTTGGGACAACAGCTTTCATAATGCTTTCTAAAACAATGTTTTTGTTAAAAGTTTTCTTAAATTAGAAATTTTTGTACTAAGAAACTGTTTTAGAAGGCAATGAAAAAGCTGTCCCAAACGAAGCCTTAGTTAAGAGGAAGAATGCACTGAGCATAAAATAAAAGTTGAAGCCTCCACAAATAAGCTAATTGAAACCAAACGACTTCAATTGCTTTGCATTCAATGTGTTTAAATGTTATTCCCCTCTAACAAATTCAGAGAAATGCTTTGTTGTAACTCAAATCAACTAGTAGCCAAGGATTAATGTTAACTTTTTAGGCCCTCACCAGTTGAAATTGATTGACTTCTCTATCATGCAGGGAGTAAGATAATTTTACCATTTAGCAATTTTCATAGCCAAAAGATTCGAACTTTGATCAAATGATTATTTACACAGAGAAAATAATTTTTGTAAATGTTCCTTATTTACAAAACTGACATCATGTTATTTTTTTTGGAACTACTAAAGTTATTCGTATTTGCTTGCATTAAATCATTGGAAATTTAACAGAAGCAAAAGATACAGTTTGAATTTTGTTGTGAATTTTTATTTTTTTGTGTGATAATTGAGAAAATAGGGTTAAAAGGATGGTCATTTTGTAAATAGTAAAGATTGAAATGTTATGCATGAACTTACCCAAAACTATTGAATACCAAGTGTAGATCCTCTACTGTTCTGGGTTAATTTCACAGTGCAAGTAACACCAATCCAGCAATGCGATGCACTTTTGACGTCTAGCTTTGGAGAAATTATTCTGTGCGAACAACAGACGGTCTGGAGACCAACTAGAACGCGTCACATCACCTACACAGCGGCACCGAGCACCGATTCCGAGCAAAAAAAAGTGACGCGTAGCGTTATGGTTGGTCTCTGAATGCCGTCTGGTGTCCGCACAAAATAAATTTTCCTAGCCTCTTTGATTCCAAGGTAATCGAAGGTGTTAGTTTAAAAAGTTGATGGAATCAAACCCAACCGTTGAAAGTGCATAGCCCAAACTGCGAGCAAAGGATCTACAACCCATGACTCCCTTCCCTGATCTAGTCATCCTCCTGGTAATCCCAACTTATGCGTTATGAATTGCGCAGGGAGAGAGAGTGTAAGAGATTAATTTAAATGATTTTTATCCTGAGAATTGATGTAATAGGTGCCTCATCGTTCATTATTCACATAAAACTGAAGGTGTCTGAAGGTCCATAATACCATTTACGTGGTGAAAATCCTCATCATCTCTTGCTTGAAATAACTTGCAACTAAGTTTCAATGCCATAGAACAAGACGCTTGAAGATAACAGATAGTCTATCTATAACTGCATGCATTGGACATGTATAGGAATGAGTACTATAAAAGGAAGCTAAATACCTGATCAAAGTAGTCTTGCCAACTCCAGGGGGGCCTATGACCAAGATGGAACCTTCACCCTCAACTAAATCACGCACCATCTCCGCACTCCCAGAAACAGCTCGTCCAACTCGACAAGTCAACCCAATTATGTCCTTCTTACGGTTCCGAATCGCACTTATTCGGTGCAAAGAATGATCAACTCCCGAACGATTGTCAACAGAAAAGTCTCCCACCTACAAATTAAGCAGCCAAACGATCTCAATTCTCAACAAATTCGTCATTAGAAGAAGAAAGTGATTATCTTTATAGCCCCACTACCTTGCCTATGGCGTGCCGTAAATCCACAAGTTTAACAGGCTCGTCGGAAACAATCCAATCCCCCGACGGAAACCGCGCGATCGGCTTCCTCCCAAGATCCATGACGACCTCAATCAGCTCCCTCACCTCACCATGGCGCGCCAAGCCTCTCCTCATCCTCGGCGGCACCAGATCAAGGAACAGCTCGAGCTCATCAGCGCCTGAACCAACGATAGCACCGTCCTCCCTCGATCTCCACGGCACCGGCGAAGAAACACTAGCACTACCACTACTCCATGTGGATCGCCGCTCTCCCTCCGGGCGGCGGATGGAAGGAGAAGGAAGCTGCGAGGAGGTGGAAGCAGTGGTCTTTCGGTGGCGTGGAGCACGGCGGAAGGAAGAGATGACGTGAGTGGAAGCAAGCTGCAGCACCTCCATGGACGATGGAGCAGTGATGATACGCAAGTGGAACCTGGCTTATAACAATAACTAAGAAGCTAGTTAGGACTTTTCATCGAGCAAGTTGAGGGCGGGCGAGGGAGGGAGGGAGGGAGGAAGAGAAAATCCAAAGGAATCTAAGAGAATATGTGGTGAGAGAAGAAGGAAAAGAGAAAGGCACGTAATTGCAAAGCTTTGAGAGAAGATTCTCGGTGACCGTTTAGGCTGTGGCTCTGATCCACAAGTTTGCTTCTTCCATATATTTTCTTCCTGCGTGTAGAACTGTACTCGTGATAAAGTCTATTTACAGAGATGATGCGTGCTTAAAATTTTTATCACAAATTAATTTTTAATTAATTAATCCAAAAAACCCTCAAAGTTTAAATATAAAATTAGTGATAGATCATAATTTTATAAAGTATGCAATAACCCATTTTAACTAATGGACCACATTTCATATCTTCATCAACCAAATTCGAATATGTTATGATGTCCAAAATTAAAAAAAAAAATTATGAATAAGATGTTCTTACAAATCAAGGGAGGATTTGTAGTAAAGAGAGATATAAGATTCTTAGAGAACTTCATAGATCTACTTGGCATATCATTATAAGCCACTCACCATAACTTAAACACATGCCATCGACGATCCACATCCGTGACTATTTATTGATGCATGATACCATCATCATTCATCATCAGGTGCCCACCATCACCATCACCATCAATTGGCTTGTTGCCTAACGACAATCACCAGATGTCGACCATCAATTGAAGATTGAAGCCTAACACCGGCATCGATACAAATCATCATTTGTCAACTAACACCCTTCATTGTCCTCCACGAAACACCAGTTGTTAGTAATATATTTAAACTACACATGTTCAATGCTCGTCTTCTTCGTCATTTAACATCTTCTCCTATAAAGAGAATGATTAAGTGGACAAACCATTTCTAATGTTCTCCATCGGCCATCATCTAAGTTTTGAGGATAAAATCCTGAACTTCATAATTTCCCATTGTAATAATTTGATCATTTCGATAGCCTTCCCAATGGCTCTGATTTATATAAGATTATGTGTAAATGAATGTCAATCATCACCTTGCTTTTATAGTATATGAATATGAAGTAATGGTCGTGACCCCCCCCCCCTACTTCATATGGTCTTCATCTCTCTCAAAGCCGTTTTGCTCAAAGTATACTCGCTCGTGCAGGTATGACAAATTGTAAACCAGTCTCAACTCCTTCTCATTTAAAATCTTCTAGTTCCAATGGTCTAACTGCTGCTTATTCCAATCCTACGTTTTATCGTCAACTCGCCGGTTGTCTTCAATATCTAACTCTCACTCGTCCGGACATCGCTTACACCGTCAACAAGGTTTGCCAACATATGTAGAATCCAACCATTCTACATTTCGAAGATCTCAAGCGTCTATTACGGTACATTCAAGGCACACTGCACGTCGGTCTCCCTCTGTTCCGGGACAAACCGATTCTACAGTATTTCTCTGACTCCGATTGGGCAGGAGATGCGAAGGATCGGAAATCTATAACACGATACTGCAATTTTCTTAGCTCATCTTTGATCTCCTGGAGTACAAAGAAACAAAATGCCGTTGCTCGGTCATCCACTGAAGCCGAATATCGGGCTCTTGCTTCTACGACAGCCGAGATCACCTGGATCCGGCGACTGTTACATGAATTAAATTGTCCTCAGCCCACTTCCACATCTCTCTTTTGCGACAATACTTCAGCTATAGCATTAGCAAACAATCCTGTGTTTCATGCCAGGACTAAACACATTGAGGTTGATTGTCATTACATTCGTCATTGCATTACAGATCAAACAATACAAATTCATCACATACCCACTACCGATCAAGTAGCTGATATTCTGACAAAACCGTTACCTGCTCCTAGATTCAAACTTCTTGCTCACAAACTGGTTCAACCGTTGGAGACACCAGTTTGAGGGGGGATATTAGACAGCAGTTATTTACTTTATTTACTTTGGTTTTATTTCACTTTACACGTGTAACATGGTTATTGGTTTATTTTGTTCAGGCTATCTATGGTGCCTATATAATAGGTTGTACTCTTTTACATTTGAATATACTTTATTTCTTTCTCTATTTTCAGTTCTCTGTTTCTCTTCTTTCCTTTTCTTGTTCTGGCTTCACCAAAGCTTTCACCGAAGCTTTCAAACCATACGTCTGATCATTTCATCTTTGCCTATTATTATTATTTCTTCCCCACCGCTCGCGCCGTCTCTCTCTCTACACTGCTTCTTTCTCTCACTAAACAGGCTTTAACTTGATATCTATATATGATATATCCATGAAAGAAAGCCGCCGACTTCTCCTCTTACTCGCCATCCTCCCATTCTTCCCAACCTTTCTCTATCATATCTCCGCCACCTCGCCGGAGTATTCCGGATCCGCAGGCCGCCGCCTTTCTTTGTGGAATCCTGCCTGCCCTGGATGGAGCAAAAGCATCTTCATTTCTTCGCCGGCGCCACCGCCACCGCCACCTTCTTGGTGCCTTCGGCCGCCGTCGGGAGAGTACGGAGAGGATAAGAGAGGCGTGCCGACCGGCCCCAATCCGCTCCATAACTGAGAGAGGTAGAGAGAGAATGAGGGCATCTTTGGTCTGAAACTCTGAATCTCTCTTTTTTTTTTCTTTATATTTCTTGGTTGTGGTTGGGAGATTTTTCTTGAAATTAATTTTTGTTATATGAAATGTAGAAAATGTATGTGAAATTATGAAATTAAATTTCAAAATAATTCATGATATATATAGAAATTAATTATGCATAGTTTATTAGATTTTTATCATTTAAATTAAATTAAAATGAATTTTAAATTATTATAATTATTTTTTTATGAACAAAATATAAAAAATTACATTTTAAGATCAAATCAATAATGATCACAAAAAATATTTTTTGTAGAATTTAATCACAAAGAAATTTGCTCAATGTTGTTGTATTTTAAGATTAAATTATTATTAGAAAAATATTAGAATTATATAAATATTAATAATTGAGGATATATATAATAACTTTTTAAGTATTAGAAGAGTTATTTTATTAATTATATTTTACATGTAATGTAATGACTTCTTAAATAATATTAAAGGAGATTAAAAAAATAATTATCTCATAAATGCTGACTTTAAATTAATTCATGCCATGACTGAATACTTAATCACCGAAATTGTTATATGCTGACTTTAATTCCAATTTTGCAGAGGTAGAGTGTTTAATATTTTAATTAATATTTTAAATATTTCAAATATGTTTCGAGTGCTTGATTTAAATTCATTTAAACTTAATTCAAATCACCTGTAATGTCAATATATTCATATTTATTAAAAAAACTAAAAAAGTACATATCAAATATAAAAAACATAAATTTATATTACAGTGAGATCATATGCCTATATATTTATTATAGATGGTCAGAAATTTTGTTTTATTTTAAAAAATAATTAATTATTATTTTAAAAAAGAGGATGGAGAGAAATTAATGGAGACGAAAAAATGCATTTATTTAAAAATTGGTACCCCTATTTATGAAATATTTAATTATACTATAACTTTTATTATATCATGTAAAGCCTTCAAACTTAAGGGATGTATGGGGCCACTTATGTGATAGAAATGTACCCTTCAAATTTAAGAGAAAAATCTATAATGCAGTGGTGAGACCTGCAATGTTTTATGGCATAAAATGTTGATCATTAAAAGAGAAACATGAGGATGCTCAGGTATATGAGTAATTTTATTCTTAGATATAGAATGAGAAACAAGCATATACGTGAAAAGAATGGAGTAGCTCCAGTGACGGATAAGATTAGAGAGAGTCGCTTAAAAACACAAGCTTTTGATGCACACATCTATGCATTAATTTTTCTTTACAAGTCCAACCAATAATCTCGTAGTTGTACTTGTGAATATATATATATTATGATATAAATTATATTAGGATAAACTTTAAAATCATTAGATCTGTTTTGAGAGTCAGTGCTAATAAAAATAATTTTTATTGCACTAATCTTAATATATAACCAATGATCAACTCCATTCTAATACAAATTATGGCCTCTTTTGAGACCACTTAATTTTGCCTTTTATGTTTCCAAACGGTAAAGTTATTTTTAGGTTGTTGTTTGTATGTGACACTTTTGTAGAACTTTTTTTCACGGAAATTTATTTTTGTATTGTTTTCAAAAGCATTTTAGTATGGACTTCTTCATCAGAAACCTCCATTCTTTTAAACAAAATTTTTAAAACTGCCTTTTACAAAAGACATCATGTAGCTAAATGAAGCCTATATTAGGATGTTCTGACCTTTTTATTTTCTTTGATAAAATCCTATGTCGTTTCAACTCAAAAAGAAGTACAACTCAGATTTGCATCTCATACATTCTTACTCATGATTGAAAATGATATTGAGGTTCCTATAGAATAATTTGCTGTAAAAAGTAATGATTCAAATCATAATCTTAATATCAAACAAGAATAGATTTGCAATGGCAACTTATGTCTTCTCTACTGAACATGACATGCATTTACTGTAAATGGTTCACATAAGCAGCCTTATGCTTTCATGTTGTGGAGGTTGTGGTCAAGGACGGAATTGTGTACTATAGTAAGAGTTATTTCTAATCTGCCCTTCTAAAAATCAGAAAGCCTCTTGGCCTCTTGCTACTTTTGTCGATTATGTTGAATTTTTCTAACACTAACAAACAAGTTTATGAAAAACGATTATGTATAAAATAAATTATTTTTACACCCTTACATGTATTTTTATTTTTTTATAAGCTTACCACTTGCCTCTCCAGAGAACTAAGGCTGGTTTCACCCTTGTCTGTGGTTACTTTGTCAAGAAAGAAATTGCAAATTGAGATTATTGACTTCATTTAGATGAATTTGAAATGTCTACCCAATGCTCTGTCTGAACAAGATTTGTGCAATTTAATACAATGAAAGGATATGTTATTCAGGATATAAAAAAAAATTATATCGAATTGTTGAATCAAGGGCTGCACTAAAAGAGGAACGTCCCCTCCCTCCTTGATGCTGCTCCCAAGAACAGAGAGCAGCCTAGCGAATTTCCTGGGAATAATTGCTCTGTCTCTCTGTGAACCAAAAGGCCACCACTTGAAAAAGAATTCAGGATACAAAAGATAACAAAGAAAACCAAATAAGTAAAGTCTTGCCAAAAATCTACCTTCATTTCCCACGGTACACATATACATATACAGGGATGTGAGCCACGAAACTAAACAAGCTATACGGGTACCTCAAAGCTACACCCGAAAACTAAAAAAATACAAACATAGAACATAAGCTAAATAAAGAAATAAAGTAAGTTAGCACCGGTGTCACTCCTCCAATGTGATCCCCTCCAGATGATCATTCCTCACCTCTAGTATGCTTTTCGCCATGTTTTTAAGTGATACCATGGCTTTGGAGAGCCCTGCATCTCCCCATATCACTACTCTTCTCCCTTCCACCACCAACTCAATCGTCAGTGCCACCCAGTTCACCTTGGTGTCTTCCAAGGTCTGTAGCCACTCCATCCCCAGAATAACAATAGTGCTTCCTAACTCCAATGGGAGAACCTCACTCACCTAAACCCACTATATGGTCAAAACTACTCCTCTATAGATCCACTGGTCTGTCTCCAGCTTTCATGTACCCATCTTCACTCCATAATATCATGTATCCACCAATTTCACCCTTAATTAGTTCACGACCTAGTTGGATATTAAATTATGGGTATCCCCACTATCAATCAACACCACCACCTCCTTGTCTGTTATTTCCCCCTTCACCTTCATGGCATGATTAAGAGTGAATCCTACTACTAAATTCATTAGCCCTCCGCCACATCTAGAAGTAGCTTGTCCTCCATCTCTCTCTCTCTCTCTCTACCTCACTCTCACCTCCCTCCTAGTTTCCTCATCATCACAGATGGTGATAACCAGAAGAGTTCGATGCCTACAACTGTGCCCTGGAGTATACTTCTCATCACATATGAAGCATAGTCCCTTTGCCCTCTTCTTTTGCATCTCCTTCTCTATCAATCTTTTGAATTTTCCCGCATTTCCTTCTCCTACTAGCTTCTCCCTAGGAGTCCCACGAATGTTGCTTGTTGTAGGTCCCTTGGGTACTAAAAAAGTGGTAGTCATCATATAAGAGCCACCTATAATGCTGCCCCTAGCTCCCCTCTCTTGGTATTTATGATCCTCCACTAGTTGTGCCAACTCTATTGCCTCTCCCAAGTCACGAGGTCTCATGACTCTCACTGTGGACCTAATCTTCGATTTGAGTTCCTTCATGAAAATACCCACCAAGATAGTCTCCGATAGTCGATCTAATCGACTAGCCATGTACTCAAATCTCTTGAGATAATATGCCATATATTCTTCCTGCACTAGTGTAAGGAAATGCTCATATAAGTTCTATTCCCTGCATGTTAAAAACATTCAAATAAGCATTCCTTGAACTCCCTCCAACTCCATTTTGGACTCCTCATGTCTCTCCACTAGTACCAATACAACACCTTCTCTTCTAAACATAATCCCCATGACGTCAATTTTTCCTCCTCCGTCAATCCATTAACTGTGAAATACCTCATAACCTTATAAATCCACCAGTGTGCATCATCCCCTTTAAAAATGGTCATCTTTAACTTCCGTTCCTTCGGATCTCTCATGTTTCTCTGAATTCCTCCATAATTTCCCCTTTCCCAAGTGTTCATCCCTTCTAAAGTCTCATGATCTTCCCTTCAATGCTCATACCCAAACCCCTCTTGGTTTTATCTCATCCTTCCTTCAAAATCAGCACCCCTCATACCATAATCCCCCCCCCCCCTCCATAATCCCCCCCCTCTTTTCTCTCCCAATTAACACCCCTTCGTTTATGCCCCCCATAACCACGCCTCTCTCCATACCTTCCACCTTTCTCCTCCGTGATCTCCACATCGTTTTCCCTCCTATGAATTTCAAAATTCGTAGTTCTTCCTATCGGCCCCTTTGTTTTTTCGTTTGAATTTGATTTTCTAATATATTTTTTACCATCTCATTAAGACTATAAACTTTTTCTTCCGCGGATGAAATATATCTTCCACCGTTGCTTTCATTTGGCCATCTCCCCTTCGAAGCGTTCCTCCAACACATACACTTTCTTGGCCACCATCGATACCTTGATTTTTGTTGGACTAAAAAATCTAAATCTCAATTCCAAAAATAGCAAAACAGCCCCATTCTATTTAAAACCAGCAGCTAATTTTCTTAGAAAAATCTCCTAAGCATTCCCAAAATTAGCTCTGATACCAATTTGTTAGTAAATACTTAAAGATCTCAAGTAAACCCTAACAAGAGAAGCAACAACAACGATAATGATCCACAAAACCAAAGGAAGAAACCATAAAACAGTAGTTTTTATTGCAATATTCAAACTAATGGAAGAAAAATAGCAATATACAATTGATCCTTAATTCGAGAGAATGATCTATCTCTCCCAATCCCTAGACGACGCTAGAGCCTAAGACACCAAACTTTAAGAACAAGAATAGCCACAATAATTTGCATAACCCTAACCATCCTATTTAAAGCAAATAATTAAATAATAAATACCTAAACATCCCTCCCCTAATTCCCTCCTATTTCCTTAATTATCTCCCTCCCAAATTAGCCCTCAAATCATCCCATAAATCTGTCCTATGCAATTAGAAAATATTTTCTAATTAACATAGAAAAAGCTTTCACACTGTCTTTACTGCCTCATCATTCTCAATCCTCTGTTTCCCTCTTTTGCCATAACTCCTGAATTTACTCAATCCTCCAGTTCGACGGATTTATGAAATTTGGCCGAAGAAGCCCACGAAAGTGAGAAAGTTAAATTCATATCGAGCGATCTGTGTCATTTCTTCCCATCGAAATGTTGTAACGTCCACTCCGCAGTAAGGGAACATCGTAGATGGAACCAATTCGAACAACAACAAAGGAGCCGAAGAAGTGACTCATGCAATCTCTGCACATTCGAATGAAGTCGAACAACAACGACGAAAAAGAAGATGAAAAGCAAACCCTAGATGCCTCTAAGTTATTACTAGTTAAACTTTGTGTAATTCTTTATTCAAAGTTTCTTCTTTTTTTGTTCTATTCAGACTTATTTTATTCTTCTTTTTCTTATTCATATTTTTTTCTTGCATCTTTTTGTCGAATCCCCCAACAAGGGGGTTCTTCTTGTATTTGTATTTTACCTTTCTTTTTTTGATTAAAGAAAGCCACTATTTTTTCTATATTCACCTTTTCCTTAATTCCTTCTTTTTTTTTCCACTCAAAGTTATTATTTATTCTTTATGTTGTTCTAACCCAACACAAATTTCTATATAATTTCTTGAATTTGTTTTCTAAAAAAATCCATTCATATTGACAATGACGACTCAAACAAATATAATTTGATCGTATATAAATAGACCTTTTTATCCCCATTCCCTTATTGGATAAAAAGATTAATATAATTTAAAATATTAAAAACTAAGTAAACTAATTAAATAATTAATACATAAATTATTTATCTAATTTGACCTAATTAAAGAGTTAGTAATATAATTAGTCATAGGGTGTGAATTAATAATAAAATATTTAATTGATTAATGAGATAAATATTTATAAATAATTAAAACTAATTAATAATAATTCAAAATTAATAAAGAGTTCATAAGAGAGAGAGAGAGATTCCATTTCTGCTAATTCATCCAAAACAAACTTGGCCCTTAAACAAAAGGATCATGAACCAAAAAGGAAGAAGAAGATGAGGATGATGAAAGAAAAAGGCTCAGAAGATGACAATGAATCCATGCCATAGAACTATTAGAGAAGCTTCACTATGGTCGAATTCCCATTGTAATGTCAGCTGTGGTTGCCTGAGAAACTTCAGACCATCCAGAAAGCCATACCATAGGAAATATAACAATATTCAGGCTAAATTCTGTGGGTCTCCGAAAGGATTCCGCTCGTGTGGTTTCGAATGCAAAGAGTACGATCACACTATCCCGTAGGACAAAGTGGTCGTAGGCCTTTACAATCGACACAAGCAGGCCGATGGAAGAGCAGATGGAGTTATAGATACGATTAGCCATGAATTTTATATCATGGTGAAAATGAAGCAACTGATAGGATTTCCATATAAAAAAAGCAAAAATATTAAACCCCATCAATGCAATTTCATTTTTCCTTTTCATGGCAAGAGATTGTGAGATGCATCAACATATCTCAAAATTAGGATTCACGTGCTATACTTCTCTGTTTTTATTTTTTTTTTGGGATATTTAAGTAGCAAACTCACACACAACGCATATACATAGACTCGAACCTTAAACCTCTTAGTTGGAAGCCAAAGCTCTCAACCAATAGGCCAAGAGAGTAGTGCTCTCTGCTTTTATGTCAATTTCCAATTTTTCTGCTCTTCCTTTAGCCGTGGGTGTGCTAGGGTTTTCTTTACCTCTTCTCAAGCTGTTCGACTTTACCTGCTAAACCTGAAAGGTAGAGTTTTGAACGAGTCGCGCTAAGTGACTTCCTTGCCTCCTTTGACGACGTTCCTTCCTGTCGAATCCGAAGTCATGTAAATTCGCCGTTATCGTTTTAGCTTATATTAGTTAAGTTCAATTAGATTAAGTAGATTAATTTCTTCGCATTGGCGTCTAGGGTTTTGCTGTACAACTTCTCAATTTCGTCGTTGCTGTTCGACTTCGTTGCTTCGCATGAGGCAGGGTCTTTGCACGAGTCGCTTCTTCGGCTCCTTCGTTGCTGTTTGACTTCGATCGTTCCACGACGTTCCCTTCCTGTCGGATCGAATGTCTCGACATTTTAATTGGAAGTAACTACTGGGAGGTCGCTCGCTGTAAAGGAAACTACCTTTCTCCCTTTCGCGCGCTTCTTCGGCCAAATCCCAAATCTTGTAAATCAGCGAAATTACAGGATTTATTAAATCCCGGATTTGCGGTCCAGTAAGGGAGACGGAGGATTTATTATTCCTCCGTGAGATTTTTCGGTTGTTCAAATCCCGTTTGCAGGATTTGGCAAAAAAATCCTGCTCAAAATTGGCTTAAATACTGTTAAATCCTTTATCCGAACAGCCCTAGGGGTTAGCCACTTTGGACGCATGGATATCCCTATGGGGCTGTTTGGTAGCATCTTGGATTTGATTTAAGTTGGATTTCGTAAATCCTCTAAATCCGGATTTCGAAAATCCTGAGAGGCTTAAATCCTGAAAACTGTTTGGTAACATTCACGATAAATCCTCTTAAATCTCATGTAACTGGTTGACTATAGAGCAGGATTTATCGAGGGATTCTTTCTCTAGCATCATGGATTTCGTAAATCCAACAAAATACAGGATTTCGGAAATCCGAATTTAGAGCGAATCAGCAGAATTTTCCGTCCAAGGAGGATTTCGTTTGCCGTGAGATTTGGATTTGCATTTTAGGCCGTTTGGCTGGATTTTGCCCAAATCCGGCCATAAATCCGCCTAAATCGGCATACCAAACAGCCCCTATGTTTGCTTCTTTTTTTTTTCTGATTTGGAATTTTTGGATGGCGGGCAGCTTATGAGGCAACAACAGCTGGCATTACAATGGGGATTTATACGTAACTATCAGTAGAAAGCTTTCTACTTGTGTTATTTGTGGAATCTGCTGTCATCTGACCCCTGCCCTATTCTTTGTTTCTCATTCTTCTTCTTATCAGTTCTTTTGGGTTATTGATGTTTCATAATGTGCAGGGTAGGATGCATTATTCTCTTTGAAGTTTCAATGAAATTCCCGGTCTGACTAGTTGTGGATGCCTATTTATAGTGGATCAATGGATTAGATTGTTGTGGAAGAAGCATGAAGCATGAGTTGTTGGGTTGTTGCACCAAGTTCTTTTTATTGTCTGTTATTAAATTTTAATTTCCAGTGCTTATCTATTTTATTAAGTGTTGATGCGGTGATGCATTGACTATTTGAATCTTTCTTGGTCGAGTTTTCATATCTTTGATTGAGAATGATGAGGCATCAAAGATGTGCATTCTGTTTTGGCAATCTGGCCTCGATTTTGTAAATTTGCTGATAGATGGTGCCTTTACATGTCAGTTGAAGTAGCATTTTTATTGAATTCTTATAAGAAATCCTTGTTTAAAATATGAGCAACTTTTTTTTATTCCCTTATATATGATATTCCTTTTCTGGGACATGGAGATTTGTGATGCCAAGGGGAAAGATGGGATGATGTCATGTCTGGAGGGAAAAATCTTTCTACCTTTTTTCTCATAGAGGATGTGATGATGATGGATAGCACATCTACTGGCTCATTAACCATGGTTGAGTCTTTTCTCCATTGCGCTTTCCATGTGTTTGTGTTGGTTTCACCTGGAATGGCAAGGCATCAATGCATCAAGGATGGCCTCAAGAGGCAACCGGTGCTGCCAGCCACTATTCTGGTTTCTTAGAGCTTAAGATGAGACATTGAATTTAAAGTTTGTTTTATATTTTCTGTGATTTTTATGTTTTTTTATCTCAACGTAGGTCCAAAATATTTTATAAGAGGGTGGTGAGACCTGTAATGTTTTGTGGTGCCTAATATTTTGCCTTACATGATGTCAATATCCTTGTAAAGTTAGAAGTACCAATTTAGTTTATGAATAGCAAAAATTTAGTTTATGAACTACAACTACTTTTGTGTTATTGGAAGTAGATTCATAATTTTTTGAATCTCATGTCTTTTGTCCTTTATGGAGCTTGTCATTAGAATAATTGTAAAATTTATCGCTAATAAACTAAATCCGTCGTTGTATCCCATGCATGACCTATTATAATTCTGGACAAATTGAAGGGGTAAATCCTCTTTCCATTTCTTGTATATTTTCTCACTTCTTTCCACATTTTTTAATTAAAGCTCTTTCAAAGCTTTTGTGATAGGAAACACTTGTAGATCTCAAGTATTTCGTATAAATCTTCGGAAAACAGCAAGAATTCTTCACAAAAGTCCACACAAAAAACAAGAAAACAGTAGATAATTTGTATTATTTGATGAAAGAAAAACAAAAAATAGCAAGATACAATTGATCCTCTATTCGAGAGGAGGATCGATCTCTCCCAACTCTCTAGACGCTACTAGAGCCCAAAGAAAAACCTAAATCTAGGAGATCTCAAATTTCAGCCAAATTCAAGATACCCTAACCCTAGGAAAACAAACTATTTAATGCATACAAATCAAAAGGAAATCTCTAAATAGCCCCTACATTCAAATTTTCCTCCTAACTTCCTCAAAAATCCTTCGAAAACAGCTCCAGATGGCTTGTGGCTTGTGTTCGGCGCATACAGGGGGCGGAAGAGTTCCGCCCCATTTAATGTGAGCCGGTCCCATATGGTCTGGCTGGACCCGGTCTATTATTTTGTTTGTTTAATTTTTGTTGTTTTATAAAGTTTTATCATGTGTGCGTGGGAATTAAATTGGAAATTGTTACTAGTCAAGCTTCTTTCCTTAGCAGTAACTTGTGGATCTTTTAAATGTGTATCCCACTTTTTCTGGATCTTTATTTTTGGTACCTTGGGTTGGACAGTTTGGGTAAGGTTGAGCTGATCTTCTAGGGTTTGAACATTGCACCCCATTTTTTATTAGAGGTACTGATTTGTGCTGAATATTTTGCCTCAAGAAATCACCAGAGTTTGCATATTATTTTTAAAGTAAAATTCTCTTTGATCAAGCAAAACCAAGGGTCTAATTATAATGTGTTTTTTCCCTATGTTATATATGCACTAGTGACTCTTGGAAAGGAGTTCTTAGTTTTGGGAGAGCACTGTAGGAAAAACAATGAGAAATGAAAAAGTAAATACATCATCGAAAATAGTGAGTGATGGAAAAGTTGATACATGATGGAACTTCTATTAGGCCTCCCTATAAAGGCCGCTGCTCGGTTTAAGTGAATACATATCCTCTTTCTCTTTTATTGAATAGAGTTGCATTGGGGAAAAAATGAAGTCGACATTTATAGATGAGGGGGAGAGAAAGAGGTAGAGAGAGGAGAAATGACCATTTATTTGAAATTGAGTGATGAAGTGTCTTTCGGCTTTCACTTGGCGTGATAGTGATTCATGTTTTAGTTGGTAACAAGGAACTATTGTTGGGTCCTGTTTTCATTGTAATGTCTTTGACGGTACTCTATGAGAGGGAAATTGTTAGTGTTGGGCTCGAGTTCTACACTTAATGCAGTGTCAGAACACCCCCAATGCACTTTATGAAAATTCACGCTCCAGCCTTCTTTCATTTTACGTATTGGTACGTGGTATTTGATGTATAGTAGCAGCATGGGTTGATATTTAAAATTAGAAATTAACTATCTCGCATTTAAGGCGGATGGTTGGGAAGTGATGATGGACCCAATTATGATCCCATGGTTCCATCGCCCGGGTCATCGTGGTCTCTGGTCTACTTAATTAGAGGTAGTCGACCTAACTTGATAGAAGGATCTTTGTCGACAGCCATGGGTTGCATTGTCCAAAGGTACCTTGTAGACATGGGGGAAATATTTGCCCATGGTGATGAATTTGAATCCACCTTAGCTAAAAGAGAGCTTTGTGGCCTATCGATTATATCTCATTTAATTCATATCTCAAGGATTTGAAGTCATTGGGGAACATACGAGCTCTGGCCATTTAGTGGCAAAACACCCGGTTCAAAGGGCCCTGGTCATAACCGTTTACATGTAATGTCATTTGGTAGTAAAAGGTGAGAGGACCTTTAGAAAGTGGTTTATTTATTTTCTATTGGAATTTAATTTTCATATCGCCCCCCCTCTTTTTTTTTTTCATGAAGCACGGTGCAGTAATCATGGTAACTTGTCTTTTTTTCATTTTGTATATATTTTTGAGAGGTTTGATGGAGAAGTATAGAGGGAGTATCGAGATTCTACATATTATATTTATTGATTTATAGAAAGCATATTTATTGATTTAGAGAAAGCATGTGGTTAAGTTCCAAAAGAAATGCCCTGGAAAGTTTTATATTTGAGAACAAGGATTTATGTTTTTGCTGGTAAAGTGGAACTGTTGTTGGATCCTAATGTTTTCGTTGCAATTTCTATGAAGGTGTTCTATAAATTCAATTCATATCAGAGGGAATTAGTTTGTGATAGTCTCAAGTTCCTTATTTAGTGCAGTGTTAGAAGATCACTAATGAATTTTTTTATAATAACAAACACACACACTCTCTCTCTTTCTCTCTCTGTTTCTAACTTTGAGGTATGCTAATGCATCTCACAATCTTTTGCCATGAAAAGGAAAAATGAAATTGCATTGATGGGGTTTAATATTTTGCTTTTTTATATGGAAATCCTATCAGTTGCTTCATTTTCACCATGATATAAAGTTAAGAAGGCCTAAATATATGTCAGTTTCAAAGATTTGCACCCCAAATATATCCTGTAGTGTGTTGTGATTATTTCTTCTTTTAGTGAAAAGCTGAGAGGGCGATGATGAATATGATGGTTTAGAATTTGGCATGAATTTTGCTATGTTTCCTATGGTATGGCTTTCTGGATGGCCTGAAGTTTCTCAGGCAACCCCAACTGACATTACGATGGGAATTCGAGCATAGCGAAGCTTCTCTAATAGTTCTATGTCACGGATTCATTGTCATCTTCTGAGCCTTTTTCTTTCATCCTCATCTTCTTCTTCCTTTTTGGTTCATGATCCTTTTGTTTAAGTTTTTTTTTTTGGAGTAGTTAGCGGAAAACAATATTGTTTACCTAATTGACACTTACTCTCCTCACTACTGTAAAAATTCAAGGGCCCTTTCTCTAATTTAATTTTAACGCATGTTGGTGGAATCAGTGTCTCTTGCTGTGAAAAGGGAAATAAATTCATGGAAGAGAGAGAGAGAGATACATATGATTTTTGGATAGAGATACCATCGGTATCTTCCTCTTCTTCATGAAATCTGGAACTATTGTTGGCAATGAGAAGACATATTGTTATAGAAATTCTAATCAAATTAGTTTGAGAAATTTTTATGAGGAATTAGCGGAAAAGGAATATTGTTTGCCTACTTTACGCACTCTCCTTACTACTGCAAAAATTCATGGGCCCTTTCTCTAATTTAATTTTAACGCATGTTGGTGGAATCAGTGGCTCTTGCTGTGAAAAGAGAAATAAATTCATTGAAGAGAGAGAGAGAGATACATATGATTTTTGGATAGAGATACCATCGGTAGCTTCCTCTTCTTCATGAAATCTGGAACCATTGTTGGCAATGAGAAGAAATATTGTTATAGAAATTTTCATTGTATACGCAATAATAAATTCTAATCAAATTAGTTTGAGAAATTTTCATTGTATACGCATAATGCATTTGTAGCTAATTATACTTTCATTTAATTAATTTTTATTTTTAAAGTTAATTAGTATTAATTATTAAATGTCACAGAATTCAGTCTTCTGATTATTCTCTTAGTAGAATAGATGTATTAGATATGGTTTATTCCAAGAGATAGATTAAAAAAAAAATAAATTAAAAATTATATATGTTTTTTTATTTAATTTAAATATATTTTTAATAAAGAATAACAAAATTTATTGCCAGTGCTATTAAAATTTATTTAATCAGCTAAGAGAAAAGAAAGAGGGAACAAAAAGAAACGTGAGCGCGGGGTTGGTCGCATAATACGGATAGATACTCTTATGGAAGCCTGGAGATTTGGTTGATCCGGTGTGCGCGCAGAATAATTTCTGCTCTTTTACGGGGAAGCTTCTTCGCCTCCCACACGACTCTTCAGTAGACATCTACTATTTATACCAGCTACAGCGAAACCTATGCCGTAGTGATTGTAGGATCGGATGCACATCTTTCTCGCCGCCTAATTTTTCCTGATATCAAAGTAGATTTTTCGGAGCGCAATAATTTCTCTAAAATCTATCTCCGGCTTTTCTATTCGTTGGATGCCCTAGAGGCGTTGCTGATTTTTTCAGAGTATGCTTTTCTTCTCTCTATTTCCCTGCATTGTCTATAATGTTTGAAGCCCTCGTCATTTTTCGCAAATCTATGCCCCTTAAATTCTTCTTATTTACTTTTGAAATTTTATCAGTACTTTCGGGTTCTGAATGTTTCATAATGCGCAGGGTTGGATGCCTTCTTCTCTCTAAAGTT